TGAACAACCAAAATACTTCCGCGTACAAAATTGCGGGTTACATAAGTATACGAAATATATAAGTAAAAACATTTGAAACAATACAAAGCAACAAACAAACGTTCTGAGAAAGGAAATCTTAAGATTGAAACAGGGGATTTATATTTAAATTACTTTCACAGCCGCGACACGTCGTTTTGTGTGTTTAGCTCGCTCTTTACATAAATATCCACGCCGTCGCGGATTTTAAAACACAGATGGAACATCATACATAATGTATGTTACTTCCGGACACAAAGATGTCTAAACACAAAGCTCAGCCGTATTAGGAAAACTTTGATCAAATGCAGATTATTTTCAGTCCCTCACTTTCTTCAAACAACTGTGCCCTCCCTAAACTTGACGTAGCCGTGTCTTAACTTAATCCTCATCCCTACTGTTACGAAACTGATTAAATTTACTAATCGTGTCGCACAAGAAAAATTCAAACATTTCACTGTTCTGAAACCTGTGTTAAGTGATAAAACAACAAGGATTACACAAATATGTCATTTGTGTCCTCAAGTCATCATTCATCCATTCCCGTGATTCCTACAAAGACTATCCAAAAAATGATGTCGGTCAGTAACAGCCGACTGTCATACCGATATGCGCATGCGCGCCTTTCTATTCTCAAAGCCCAAAGAAGTTTCACTTCAAAAAAAATCCCATAGCAACTTTTAATACACCTAGCAAATAGTAAATTTTTTGCTATTACTTTGCACAATCATTTGGCTAGGACGATGTTTACAATTTCGACAGAATTCATGGTGGATTGTAAAATAAAAGTAGGTATTCATATGCGGTCAGTCGGTTCATTTTTCTCGCAAATGTAGGGTTAACGGTTGGCAGTTGTATAAAATTACATTCTGCAAAAATGTTAAAGGACCTTAATCAGGCTTTATCGTCCAGACCGCGGAAGTCAATGGGTTCGCTGCAGATGGGCGAATGCGATATTTTATAGTGCAAAGAAGAAATACTTAAAGAGTCGACCGCGTATAACCCACGTTGCAATGTCTCCCGAATAAGGCGATAAAATTTTATCACCAGTCCTCTCGCTATATCGAAGATGCAACGGAATTTTATATTTTAGCCGCAAATTTTTCACATTTCTCGAGTTGAAAATTCAATTTCCGATCAAATAACGGATTTTTAAAATAATATCGAAAAATTTAAATAGTTACCTATTATAGCATTTGTAGAAAAGATATTTTCTTTATTATCTGACTACTATTATACGTAGATGAATCAAGTAAGCCAAGTTTCTTATCTGACTGGACTCACATTTTCAGTTCAGTACCAAGGAATTTTAGTAAACTGTGAACTACAACATGTATTTCCATTAACAAATAGAGTTGTTTACTAAAAAAATAAAGACCCGCTCGGATGTCGCACGGGGAGACAATATTTTTTTTTAAAATGTTCCTTTGTGTGGGCACCTACAACATGTATTTGTTTTAATAGACAACCCGAAGCGATGCTTCATGAAACAGAGCGTGCATCAGTGGCGTCATCCCAGCTAGTTAATTAATTAAAACCACCTTGGTAACTTGTAATATATCAATCTCGAAAAAATACATACTGCAAAGAACAGATATTAGTAAAAATAAAATAAGGGTGTTCAAATTTTCAAATGTATAGCCTTATAAAAAAAAAGTGGTTTTGACTGGTTATGAGTTTTGACTCTAACATATCTGTTCTAAGAATTTTGTAAGGGTGTTCAAATTTTCAAATGTATAGCCTTATAAAAAAAAAGTGATTTTAACTGGTTATGAGTTTTGACTCTAACATATCTGTTCTAAGAATTTTGTAGGCAAAATCATATGAAAAAAAGGAAAAGTAATAAAGTAATAAAAATGTATGAGCTTTCGGTCTATACGTCAAAATATCTTGTGTGGGACCTGTGATAACTGATAACCTAACTCTGATTTCCATATATGTATACCCATTTCACCTTTTTTAAATTGATTTTCCAAACAAGCCTAAATAGATGTTACTTTTTTTATAGTATCTATCTCAGAATTTAAATATGATTCTCTATGCCTTCAGCATAAATTAACAAGATACGTTTCTGGTCAGTACATTTTGTTATTTAGCTGCTAACAATTCTGCTCTGGAATAATTTACCACAACTAAAGCGTTTAAGGAGATTTTAGAAAGAATAGGAAAACTAACAGCGCTATGGAAGTCAATACGGAATAGGCGAGATAAGTTGGTAGGACGCTTTCTCAGGCATGAAGGACTAGTTAGAGATATATTAGAAACAGAAACAGAATATAAGAGGAGTAGAGATAGATCTAGAATAGATTACTGTTCACAAATAGATAGTTAAATATGTGGTATGTTCTAGTTTTAGGAAAAATTAAGATTAGCTAAGGATAGGAAAAAGTGAAGGTGCATGTCGAACCAGTCTTAGAACTGACGACATTGATATGATGGTAAATATGATGATAAATAGTTTGAGATGACAGATGTTTCAGTTTTTGAGAAATAAATATTTGCGATTTACCTATTCAACAACGCCCAAAAACGCAACTCTTTGCAAGCAATGAAGTATGGAGTCGGTAATATGCTAAATAGCCAAATATAAAAAAAAATCATTATCATTATAAGTATGTAATCATTCAAAATTTTAATATACATAGATAAATCAAGTACTTAAACGGCCTGTAAAAACATCATCCTATCGAAATATTAAAATGGTTTATTCTCAAAATATAGGGTTTCGTTTGCCTAGTGATATATAAATTTAATTCGAGTAATGTAATACCTAATAATAAAATTGAGTATCTATCCAATAAAAAATTACCTATACCAAATAGTAAAGAAGAATATGATTCCGTTTTGGGCAACAAAAATTTGAAAACTTCCGTAGTAATAAAGGGTATAATATTATTTGGATTTATGTGCTGTAGGTGCCCATCATAGAAAACAAACGACTTTATCATATCGAACGTATCAGGATAGTTAACATTATAGAACAGCAATCAATACCAAAAATGTACGGAACATGCACCGTATCGGTTATGATACTCGTTACTGCCTACGTTACTGCTATTTATGTTGATATTTGTCTTTCAAAAATTATGGGTATGGTCGCAATTTCCGGCCTAGTGATTTTTACATCCATACTACTATATTTTTTTACGCCATTCGACTAGAACAATTCCGGGTAATTTTTTGTATGTTACTGGTGTATAAAAATATTTTTTCTCATATTTAATTCTGCATACATGTACATATGTATTTACCAAAGAAAATTCTTAAATTATGAAAATCACTTGAGATCATCATCAGGCACTTGATGAAGTTTTTTAAAATAACAAATTAAAATTCGAAATATGACAAAGCTTCGACTTCTGCAGCTGCTTACAAAAGACAGAAGTATTAGTAAACAAAGCAATTTGTTCCTTTCTTCCATGATTACAACAAACTTCCTGCAAATATACGTGAAAATTTGAAAATTTCGCTGACTTGCTGAACATTACAAAGGTAACGTATCTGATCAAGTTTTTACCGAAGAGATATGTTGACTTTCAAAGTTTAAATTCCCGATAAAAGCACTTGCCCGAAAACACGTCGTCCTTTCATAAAGTGTAATAACTTCAAATGAAGTTTTCCGTGTTTGTCGGTTGTTTGGTCCATTTCTTCTGGTCAACTTAAGACTGTAGAAAGTTTCGAATCACTAGCACCGACGACCGTGACGTCATGTCGTCCGTAACGAAGTTGTCGACAACTTCAAAAGAAGCAAGTCAGTTTAACGATCTAGGAAATTTTGGAACTAGTTTGTTTACTGTTATTTTATAAAATAAAGAATAAAAGTATGCATTTGTCTGCTAAAAGTATGAGACATGATTTAGGGCTTTTACTGCCTTTATCTTCGATGTGAACGCATCAAGGAATAAAAACAATGGTGATCCTAAATATCGTCTTTAATTAACCGCACATTATATTAACCCAGCGCAGGAGTCCACAAACTTTTAAGCTGGAATTGTTTATTGATTTTTAACATATCAAACTAAATAAAGAAGAAAACCATGAAATAATACCTCAAATACATATGTATAATTAACTTGACTCTGACTCAGTATTTAAAAATCCCTCAAGCAGCATATAGAGAAGATATCCAAAATGAAATATATTTTCAAAAAGACTTTTTTTATTAAGTACAACTTAAGTTGGATTCCTAACCGCTACTATTAAATTATGTAGTTTTTCTAGGGTGACGGTCAAATAATTACAAAACTATATGTTTTTGTAACGTTTCGGTTTATTTAACCGTCTTCAGACATTTGGAGTGTTACTGCTTGCCCGAAATAAAAATGTTCACTCTCTCAGAGTCGCTGAAAGCGAGACTCGAGTCTCCGTTTCTCATCGAGTCTCTCTGGTGTCGCTGAGAGAGACTGTAGAGAGACTGTAAAAAAAAACTGTTTAGCGTCTCGGAACGAGAGACTCAAGTCACTCATAGAGCGATCCTCATTTCTTATCCAGTCTCTGAACGAGAGACTCGATTCTCTCAATAAGTGTTGACTCGATAGACATGGTTAAAATTTTTTAAGTTCAACATATTTCAGAGATCCCAGCCTTTCCACGAGAGACTCGAGTCTCTCAATTTTTCAGTTTTATTCATTCAGTCACTCTATGAGAAACTCGAATCTCTGAATTAAAAATTTTATCGTTCGAGTCTCTCATACAGAGACTGTGAGAGATCCATAAAAACACTTAAGCAATAACTGAGAGACTGTGAAAGACTGCGAGAGACGCTGAAAGACTCTGAGAGACGGGGGAGAGACTGAAAATTTTTGTTTAGGGTGTACACAGATATTAACTTATTTTTAAACATTCCGTCATGTTGAACAACTGCATACTGAGTATCTAAGTACATGAAGTACAAATTAAGTATTTTTTCGACTACAACAGAACACTATCATCCAACACTTTTGCGAACACCTGTATTTTTTATATTTTTCTTAATTTTTCAGACGCTGTGGAGAGTTTCGATTCGCACCTTCGCGGTCCATCGTTTATCATGGAACCGCCGACACGTCTCGAATTCTCCAACTCGTCCGGAGGCTGGCTAGATTGTTCGGCTTCCGGCAGCCCACAGCCTTCGATTGACTGGCTGTCGGTGGACGGCACTTCCGTCGGAGACGTTTCCGGCATCCGCAGGGTGCTTCGGAACGGCACCTTGGTGTTACTTCCGTTCGCGGCCGCCGCATACCGTCAAGACATTCACAGCACCGTTTACCGCTGCGTCGCTTCCAACTCCGTTGGCAGGATAATCAGTCGTGATGTCCAAGTTAGAGCCGGTACGATATTTTACCTATATTTTAAATTAATTTACATTGACCACTACATTATTAGTTGTAGTATTTATACATTGTAGACGAAGCTAATTAGAAACAGATAAAAAAACGGAACCATTAATTTTTTTAAAAAAGATTTACAGGTTATTTGAGGTTTTGGTCATTTAGAGATATACATAGTTTGGCACAATACAATAACAAAAAAACAAACGTACAAATGCCTGTAATGTACAGTCTTTATTCACTATGTACAGTAATATTAAGGGAAAATTTATATATCTACAAAAGGATGTAACGTAATAGAGAAAAATAGCAAGAGAGTTGACAGTTAAGAATGACTGTGAGATAACTGATAGCGCGTTCTGTCCTGTTCTGACTTTTCTGAGGGTTTGTGAAAGGTTATAGGACAGTGAGTAGGGAAACATTCACGGAGGATTCTAGTTTGGTGTTATTCGATGGCAAACCAGGAAAATGGGTGAAGCCATCTCGCACCGCCCAGTGATAAACATAAACATGAGGGTAGTGACCTTACCGAAAGCGCTAACTGCTCCGGCAATGGTAATTATGACGGGGATACGCGTGATACCGCCGGTACATTCCCATTGCACCGTCCATATATGACCACCGTGTTCGCTTATTCTGCATGTGAATACATTGGTTTTTGTTTGATATTTCCATATTCAACATTGAATTTATTTTTGTATTTTGTGGCAATATTTTGTCAATTGAAAGCTAACGAATGCAGAATATTACTAATCATTAAGTACAATTGACTTTTCTACGTATCAGCTGTTTACGAATAGGTATGTGTGTTTCGTCGAAAGCCTATAAGATAACACGGCAACTGTTCTGAATTATTGACGGCTTGTTAACTGGAGCACTTTCTGCATCCCCTACGTTGTGGTACTATGACGAGATGCACTCTACAGTGCCTCTAGATATTACCCTTTAAATTTTTCGGAATTTTGATCATACGTAATGTATATTCTACAATATCTAGAATCATGAAATTTAGCAAGGAACAATGTTTTGTACTGGTACACGAGCACACTTGACCGTTTCTGTTTTGCATCAAAAGTACCTAAACTAAAACTTCATTGCTAAATTTACTTCATATTCCGGTTTCTCATGCTAAAAAGCACCCCAAATAAACTGCAATTTACCATTCTAAACTTACTTAAAGTTTTTCTATTCCATTAGAAAAAACAGTCGTATTCCTATGCGATAGGAATACAAAATGGCATAAACAGCGATGTATCATGCCTTTGACTAATATTGTTTTATCCTCGAAAGCCTAAATTTCAGTACGAATTTTATCTACAAGAGTCTTCTGCATTGGCAATACCTTTTCGCGAAAATACAGTTCATGTTTCCCCTTTAAGCAATATTTCAGTTCATTGTGTTCGTAAACAGAAGCCGTTTTATTAAAATTTCCCTCAAATAAAGAACAAACGATCATGCATACTCACATATATACAAGTATACAATACACATAATCGTTCCAAACGCACCAACGAAACCAATAGAGCGAAATATAAAGGCAGTCAAAGCTTGTGATGGGGTTTCCCTGCCCATAAAAACAGGATATTTATACTTATGAAAAAGGAATGGGCTTTGTTAGAATTTCATATTTTTCGGTTCATTCGGAAGAGTGATTCGTAATATTCGTGAACGTAAATTTCGAAAAAAAAAAAATGCGGGACGTCCCTCGTCGAGTGCTTTCCCGGTTCGACGAACCAGAAACTATAAGCGAAAATCTCGCGTTTCCAATTTACCTTCTATTTCGTACACTGGTACAGCCATATACAGCTAGTACCTACCTACCTACATGTCACAACGAAATAAAAAAGAACTCTAAACAATAGAGCGCACTCACGTCGTCTATCATCCCCTTTATTTCCTCTTCGTATGCTTTTTTGTCGTTGCAAAATCTACCTACACATTTTCCCCCTTTTTGTCATAGTTACATACTAGCTACATTTAGAGTTAGCCAATGACACGCTTTTAATCTTTTCTAAATGACACAAGAACAAAAGCATTTCAATACACTTTTTAACAAAACATATGAGAACGGATGTAGAAAACAATGACAATGTGATTGTATACATATGAACATCTAATTAAATTGATTCCAGATTTTTATCTATTACAGTTTTTGAGAAACATGAATTTGAAAAGTAATCAACTTCGTCCATTATTTCAAAAGTCCTTAGGGAATCGGCGCGAAAAGCGGTATATACGGGAAGATACCAACTCATGCGGCGATTTTATTGCTAAGGGGTACTACCAACTGCGGCAATCGTATTGTAATGTTCGTGGGTTTAACAAAATTAACTTCTAAGACTGATAACGACAAAAACTATTTATTTACATTAATTATTAAAGAACTTAATATTATTAAATTATTACTAAAGTTATTTTTCTATTTATTTACACTACTGTTGATATATCACTATTCACTGCGCTATTTATTTCACTGCTATCACTGTCAATTTATTTCTAGATTCACTTCTGCAACGGTCAATTTATTTCCTCTCTTCTCGGCGATCGTCTCTTCCTTTAAATACTCTTTTGTTTACTTTCGGGAACCTTCTGGAAACATCCGGATAGTTTATTTTTTATTTGAACTGTTTTCCCAGAACGCAGGTACGATACACACATTTACAAATACGGCGCACATGAAGAAAGGCGCCCGCGGCTAGTCGGCTAATCGATAAGCCGAATTAAATAGTTAGTACAAAGAAACAAGTATTTTAAAAATACGTATTTTGCATTTAGCATTTAAAACAGTAAAGAGAAATATATTTTGTATTTTACATTTACTACGTAGTCGCACGACATTAATTTTATGATATGCTGCAGTTGATATACGTCCTTAATCATATATCATGTTTTTATTGTGTATTAAACGCATATTATTATTTTACAAATAAGTTGTATGGGTCAAATCACTATGCTTATTCGGTTACATCCTTTGAAACGGATACATATTCTATTATATTCCTAAGTTACTTCAAACGTAAAAAAGGTAACGTTATGCTCAAGACCGTCTATTGTTTTAGAAAGTTCTATTGTCCCGATAACTATGTTACGGTCTCAAGAGTTGAAACCATGAATTGTTTTGGCTCGTATGGTTTGACGAACCCTTCTCTCTTTTTTTTACAGTGGTGACTCAGGCATACAAAGTAGAAGTGGAGGCTCTTGGAGCAGCAAGGGGTTGTACAGCATTGCTGAAGTGTGTGGTGCCATCGTTCGTAAAAGAGTTCGTACGGGTTGTATCTTGGATACAGGAACCATCATTCTATATCTACCCTTCGCTACAGGGAGGTATGTATTTTCCATAAGTGCGAAATCAACACTTGCTTGTAGCGACAAATTAATACATTAAAATTATTCCATTAAGATTTTCAAGTGTTAATTAATGTTATATCAACTAGTTCTTCTCCCCTATCAGTCACTGTGAGCTAGAAATTGATAGCATCATTGATTCGAGTGGACTAAATTCACTTTTGTGAACAATTTGTTTAATCACTTTCTTTGTGTTAAAAATAAATTAAATTTAAAGGAATTGTTTGTAAATAGGTATGCAACACATCGTACGCTTCAGCATAAGAAATTGCTGATACTAACTACGTAATACTACTTTGCCCTGTGTTGACAGCACTCGTAATTTCTTTTATATGTAATATTCACAATATAAAAAGAAAATACCGAGAAAACTTAATCAAGTTTTACTTGAGAACTTCGAAAAATTTAATTTAAAAAGAATACAAAAAATCACTGAAAAGTACTTTCAGTTATTCTATGAAAGTTTCTTAAATAAAATCTACCTTCTTGTTGTCTACTTTCTTCACATCTTCCTACATTAACCCATATTTATTATCTATGACGGATAAACTATTCCTTAATAAAAATAGTTTTGGAAGGACTGTTCGTGTATTTGAGAGCAATGTTTTTTATTAGCAGAACCGTCAAAGCTAAAGTGTAAAAAGCGCAATCTCTCCAACCGTAAGAGAATGTCCGCAATCGCCGTTTCAAAAAGAATTTCACGGTAGACCGGAACCAGGGCGTTTCCACAATGTCAGAGAGAAACTAAGTATTTGTGGTCTCTTTGACTCTGATAGGACTCTGACTCTAGCTTAATATTAGAAGTATGAAATTTTTCATTAAGGCACCATGATCCACTATAAAAGTGTTCGTATACTTGAACCACGGCTCTACATAGCTAGCAATGAGGAGGCAGTAAAAAGAGTCGGTGAACAAAGTGTGCTAGGAAGGGGAGAGATAGGGCAACTTCTGGAAGTGAGAGATACAAATGTCCGCAGTGAGCCAAGTTTTTGGTAATTAAGATGCATCGCTTTTAGGTTTATTTATAAAGAGACATATTAGAAAAAGGAAGAGGAGTAAAAAGGGGTAAAAGTAAAACTAAATAAATATTTAAGGATGTGGGATATTCTAGATTCAGGAAAATACGAAAATTGGCACAGGACAAGAGAGGCACTCTTCGATCCTACAACGATGATAATTACTAGGTACAGTATACAACATTATCGGCTCATTTTCAAATTTGTAAAGCGCCTTCGAGATTATTTCAACCATTTGGAAGGTAATCCCATATAAATATATAGGCAAACAGATAAAAACTGTTAGTGGAGTCGCTTGTGTCTCAATTGTATGCAAATAACTGTATGGGTTTAAAAAGGGCTGTTATGTCGATATTAAAGCACTTTTATTTATTTATCGAACTAGGTACAGAAAAAGTAGATTTAATGTGAATAGCAACTGGGAGTACCTACACATGCTTCGGTGTGTCGACCTAGGCAAGTGATACAAAACAAAAAACAATTTAAACATAAACTTAATTCAATAACTAGTCTAAATACACAAGTTAGTGATATTGTATTGTTCATATTAACTTGGGATATGGGATATTAAACATTTTTAATTAATTAGTTAAGTGTATAACTGCATGGATTTGTACATATTGTAGCGACCACGAGCGTGATTGTGTGCGATCGAGCATACGTGTGTGTGAGCGGCTTATCGATTCGCCGACTAGCCGCGGGCGCTTTTCTTCATGTGCGCAGTATCTGTAAACGTGTGTGTCGTACCTGCGTTCCGGGAAAGCAATTAAACCGTTCAAAGAAAACGAGACTTCTCTGGACGGCTGAAGAACTTTCCCGAAAGGAGGCAAGGGAGTATAAAAAGGAAGAGACGATCGCCGAAGTAGAGTAGAAATAAATTGACCGTTGCAGAGGTGAAAGTTATAGGAGTGAAATAAATAGAACAGTGAATAGTAACAGTAGTGTAAATAAATAGAATAATTACCTAAGTTTAGTAATAAGTTAATAGTGTTTTTAAGTCCTTCAATAATAATTAGTGTAAATAAATAGTTCTCTTCTTAAAAGCTAACTTGTTAAACCCACGAACATTACAATATACATATTTGTATGTGCGGCACTGTTTAGCGAAATGATCTCTGTTTTTCGACTAATCAAATTTTGTGTTACGATATTTTTGATTGAAAATGTTAGAATAAGAAAATATTTGCATTAATGTAACGTTTAAGTATTTCACGCTTAGGGGTAACAAATACGTTTCACTGTATTACATTTCTTCTACATTCAAGTGCTCGGTAATCCAGTTAAGCCATGTTAATTAGTCCGATATCATAGGAGTTCACCCTTCGTAATTAATGAAACCTGCCAAGAACGAGTGAAAAGAAGAAGGCTCCACCTGATACAAGGCATACCTACTTACAAGCCGTGCAGTTGATAAAACGACCTATTTCTAAAACGGCTTCGGATAAATTTTCTTGCATTCATTATCATACTTGTAAACTTCTCGTTTACATTTTACTTACCGAGCACAAGGACTATATGTCACAACGTGATAAATTTTCCCTTTAGTCAATTCAGTTTTTAACTGATTAAAACTAACACAATAAAGATTATGCAAAAATATGTATATATTTAAAGTGGTCTACGCTTATCTAATAAAGGGCCTCACGACGTTCTCAGATGATGTCAATATCGGAGGCGCAATTAAGAAACATTTTGTTCTCAGCGTGGATCCTGAGGGAACACTAACGTTACTGTCCTATCCACTACTTCTTACATAAATATAATAAAACCCCATGCTGATTAGTTAGTTCATTAAAAGACTATTTTATACTAATAAATTAACCTAATTAATTGTCGATCATAGTTGTCAATCAAATGGACTGAAAATGTATCTTCACTTCTGTTGCATTCGGAAAAAGTTTTTAATTAAAACTGTATACTATCGATGAGAAAATCAATTTGTAACATTTACCTTGACTTTTATATGCATTCTTCATCGTTTTCGAATTGACCCGATTAGCAATAATGCTTATATTTTCACTTATTGTTAAAGAAAATTCATTCATTTACTTGAATTCGTATGAATTTGAAATTACTTAATGAGCCGCAACGTAGTGAAACAAGTACATATCTCAAGTTAAGCAATAAAATCTGGGTAAATTACAACTTTTTCAATACATAGTTGGGACAATCAAAATTGGCAAACTATAAGAACGTTTAAGTTCATGTTCAATAATTTATTGAAGCTAACAGACGAGAATTATCATTTTGATCTTATGTATACTTCATTTAGTTTCTGTAGCGATGTGACCTTCATTTTGACCGGCGCAAAGTAGAAAAGAACAGCACTAGGCCAGAAAAGAAAGGGGACAACTCACGGCCAAACTCTCAACCGGTACCGTACAGTACTGCACGGAAAAAACGACCATTTTATCCACTACAATTGCATTGCTCAAATGTGCTGTTTTTGGTACCAATTAATACTGAAAATATCAAAGAGATGTTTATTTATATTTGAAGACATATTAAAGGCTTTAACGCTTATTTTCAACTCGCACTACTATTCATGATTGAACAAAACTTTTGGCAGGTACTGTATGAAAAAGTACGTTTAATAAACAACAGTCGAGAGTATAATGAGCTTTTTTCTCCTTACCTACGATTTCGCCAGCGCGCATCCAAGACATTGGAAGGGGCACATCGCTAGAGAAGGTAAATGAAGTATAACTTGATGTAATATCCAAATACAGATAGTGTAACGCCATCCAGTGAATATTTGCTGTACTGAAATATTTCATGCGTTATGCAAGGTTCAGCTTCAGTTAAGCAAGTTAAAATAGACTTTGTCTAACGCTTGAAAAACCTCAGTAACAGCAAATTCCCACTAGATAGTGATATACTGTCTATACTTTGGGTGTTTGAAATTTTAACTTCAAATTTTCTTGCTGGTAATATTTACGTTGTTTGATAACTTGATATAAGAATACATTTGACAGCTTTCATAAGCAAATACCTGTAGGTTTACATGTATTTGGTAAAATAAGTTTTTGTATTTTCCAAATTAAATTCTTCTTCGAACTTCACATTCGATAACTCGAGCATCATACCTGACGACGAAGAATTCCGTAACTTTTCATTTTGCTAGTGCTGCAATGCAATATCCTTGTTCGGATTTAATTGAGTATGCTGAGATTGTGCCAGAAAATTCTGCATGAAATGAGAAACACATACGGTCATAAAACAGGCATGCATATGTACAATGTGCAAAGCGTGACAACGTAAAATGCACGTGGTATTTTTCGATTTTCTACGTTTATAACTTTGCGCCTGTAACGTATAACTTCGAAATTCTTTCATTTAATAACATCTGTTCCAGATGGAAAGTTTCATCAACTGCCCTCCGGAGATTTACTTATTCATAATCTGGAGTTCAGCGATCAATTCGCAATGTACCGCTGCAGAACGATGCACAGGCTTAGTAGGCAATATACCGTCAGTGGACCTGCCAATGTAAGAATTACAGGTAGGTTTATATCAATTTTGCAGCCACTAAGGTCAATTTGGATGATCATTAATTGGAAATATTATGATATATATCACCGATAATATATCGTGTACATAATTATATGTTCATGTGTTTAATATATGCGATCGTCATCTTATGGTCGTCAGTCCTAAAACTGGCTCGACACGCACCTCCACTCTTTCCTATCCTGAGCTAATCTTCGCATTTCCCTAAAACTAGAACAACCCACATCCTTAACTATTTGCGAACAGTAATCTAATCTAGGTCTACCTCTACCCCTCCTAACTCCCGTTTCTGCCCCTAATATGTCTCTGACTAGACCTTCATGCCTGAGAAGGTGTCCTACCAACCTATCTCGCCTATTTCTTATTGACTTCCATAGAGTCCTATGTTCTCCTATTCCTTCTAATACCTCTTCATTTCTATCCTTCTCTATCCATGGTATCCTCATCATTCGCCTGTAACACCATATTTCGAACGCTTCTAACCTTTTTTTCCGCCGCGTCCACCGTCTATGTTTCGCACCCATACAGGGCCGCGCTCCGAACATACACCATTAACAATCTTTTTCGAATTTCTAAATTAACCGTTCGCGAGCACAGAAGAAGATAACTAAAATCGGTCACTTCTAATGATAACAATGATAAATCCTTTACAATAGTTTAATTATACAGTTTACCGTTGGGATTAGATAGAACTTGTTTGTAATCTTTGGCCATTAGAAAGAGTAGGAAAAGCTTTTTCATGCACTTTCCACCACTCTAAAATGTTTTGATTCCTATTTGCTCTTTCTAACAGCAAGAGTTAACAAGTTGAAGTAAAAATGTGAAAAAATCATATTCGGTTGAGTTTAGTTAAATTTACAATAAAATATTTCACAGATGGTCACCAGATTTTATATTTCGTAAAATATATTGTTCTCTGTGCTGACCTTTTTTCATTTTTCAAATAAAAACTTCATAAAAAAATCAACGAGACGCTTTTCCGAGACAAGACGAAAAAAATCTCGTTTTCGTGTGAAGCCCTATGCTTATCTCATCACTACATCTAAATAATATAAGGGAGAAAATGAAAATTAATTTCCATTTGGTTGTTTTTAATTTTAAAGTCTAGTTTATTCCACTGACTGATGTATATGCTTTTACAATTGTAAATACATAGGGAAATTGAGCGCATTGAAAGTTGGCCTCATCCAAGTAAAGCCTTTCTGCAGCGAAATATGATCGAATGCAGCATTTAATTAAAACCGGTCGCATTTCGAAGTCTAATTAATGAAAAGAATGTGTCGAATTTAAGTTGCACACAAGTGGGTGACTAGAGGGAGTGCAAGATTTTAATTAAATGAAGTAAAATTTCGAGTAGGTACCTATATAATCTAATCGAATCACAGTTACAAAGACCGTTACTTAATTAATCCAGTGTTTGCCTTTAAACATATCCTTCAACGGTCGTATATTCATTCAAAGCTCGGCGCTGCAGTGTTGTAGTGGCGCGACGCAACGGTGGCGTCGGGATTTTTCATAGGAAAAATGCACACCCAAGCATTCCAACACAGCCGCACTCTTTAATTTATTTCTGCAAAGTTTGATTTCGTTCTCTTTTCGTCAGCTAGTGATTTCTTTGTTTGAAATCCGAATTCTACAATTATCAAAGGAATAAGCGCTCAAAAGCTCGACCCATTTTAATTACGGTGCGGAACTTTTCAGTTCCACACAGACCTGGATGAATAAAGTTTTAAACGTAACGACATCCTTAATAGCGGTTGCTTTGTTCTTTTATGAGAAAACTGCATAAAGGAGGGAGAAGCCGAAAACTTTTTGCCTTCGCGGTCTATTAATAATAATTTTTCGAGATCCGATTCTAATTCGACGTTCATTCACCTCAAAGAAAAAACAGGAGCAGTTCTTATCATTTCTTTTAATTTATTTGAATTCTTTACTAAATACCTTCGTTCGGGCTTCTCGTTCCTTTGAAATTAGTACCTACTAATCTGAAATTTTAGGCTTGATTTCTCATTTGAATATTTTTATTACAGGGCTGAACATAATACTGTAGATCAATGGTAAAGAACGTAATATTTAATGATAGAGATCTAGCGCAGTCAACGAGGCTCTTTTTCTATCGAACATTTCCGTTACTACGCAATTTTTTTGTAAAATAGAAAAAAAATACGATAATTCTAAATTTCGTTATATCCAAACCCTGAGATGTTAGGACAACATTTCTTAATTCAACAGTTAGTAAAAACAATCGGTTGTCTGTAAAGTCGGTTTACTGACGATAACTGAACGTGACAACGTCATAAGAAAATACTGATGGAATGGTTTCATTTTTCAAAAGAAAATTTTAATTTTATTTGTTTGATAGACATTTTGTATGGATATAGAGAAGGAGGTAAATGGAAATGTATGTATTATTGTATAGCAGCTGTCCACGCGGACGCATCGCTCACTCAAGTAGGAGAGAGACAGATGTCGAACGCTGCCGAACGCGGAGACCGATTGTGCCTCTTTGTCGCTCGTTCCGCGCTCTCGCTTGCACTTCAAGCCTTTAATGGAACGCCTCAGAGCGAGGTAACGCCGCATGAGTAATGTTTTTTCGTGCTCCATCGAGTTATAAGACGTTGCCACGTCAAAATTATTCCTTTTTTACTTTTTGGGAAATATCTCCTCTCAAGTGCATATTTCTTGCTTCCTTGACTGAACTAATAACGACAGTTTGAAAATTATTAAAATTAATATTAGGTAGATAACATACTGACATCTATTGACCGTAACATGGATTACGATGATACAATTGCAACGATCAAATTGGCAGTCCACAATAAATTATCTGTGAGAATGGAATTATCTTCTGTCTTGTTTCCTCTTGGGAATTCAGTCATTTGCTGCGTTTTGAACACGACCTTGTTAAGTTAGGAAATGCTTCACCAGTAATACAGACAAAATGAAAAGAGATAACCGAATAATAGTAAGCGGTGCAAAGGTTAAAGGTTGCTTAGATACGCAAAAGGTCACGGTCGGCTTTATAACTGCCTGGTTGGAATTATATCTTTAAACAAGAGCCCTGCTGTCCTAAATTCCTGAGAATATTGAACTTTCTTTGAAGTTCGATGCTGGCAACATTCTCAAATTCTGCTTCATATCAATTGGTGTAATGTTATTCCTCTTTTTCTCTATTAGTGTCCGCTGCAATTCGTACCTGACATCTCTTTTCTATGTTTACGATATTCCCTATAACGTCTGTCTTGAATAAAAGTAGACGTTCTGTTACAAACTTCTCTAGTCTAGTTTAGTAGTAATTTGAAAGAAGGAACTAAATGCCACATTTTTATTGCGGACAATGCCAATTTTAAACGTCCCAACTATGCATGTGCTTCAGTTCTGGCACTCCTTCGTACCATCATAGCCTGAAGTTTGTCATCTCCAATTAATAAAATTATACAGAAAGTATAATAATTTTACAGGTTGCGATCACAAGTATAACTTAATTATTACTATCTAATTGTAATGAAGTCTCTTATGGTTAAACCTTTTTAATAGCACCTCCGGTGAAAACACTGCCAGCGCTTGGATGGGAAATTTTAACCTAACCTAACCACCCATCCATAGTAGTAGAGATGCAATTACAAGAATAAATTTAGTTGCATTAAGAATGAGTTTTTTAAAGTGCACAGGACCACTTCGTTGTATATGTATACGTACTGAAGAAAAGGATAAGAAACAGCTTTCGGTAAAGTGAAAAATGTCGAGATCAAACATGTGCCGCAAATGCACATGTAAAACTCCTTAAATCCCAGCCGGTGGAAGAGCGCAGTGTATATTTACTTAATTTCTCGACTCGTAATGGATGCATTGTTCTCCTTTGGTTGCAGTTGGCGCGGCGGACTCGATGTAGAATTACTAAAAGCTTCGCGTATGTTTATGTTCTCCCGCGGGAAGCATTTTCTGGAGTACGAAAGCGTGTAGCGAGCAGGGATTTTACAATCCGTTTCCTACGACACTCCTCCCGCCGGTAGGTGTATATCTACCACGGTGTACGGCGTCGATTTTTCTTTTTACTTTTTACAACCACCGTTGCTACTAATCCCAATCCTTTCGGGGCGAATATCGAACGATTTTTAAAAGAGTTTCTGTTGTTGTAATTTATTACCGCTACGAATAAGATAACTAGGATTGTAAGGTATTAGATACCTCCCGTACGAAAAAACTACAAGTTTGCGATAAAACTCACAATAATATAAAAAAATCGGTTGTCTGTAAAGTCGGTTTACTGACGATAGTTGAACGTGACAACGTCATAAGAAAATACTGATGGAATGTTTTCATTTTTCAAAAGAAAATTTTAATTTTATTTGTTTGATAGATATTTTGTATGGATATAGAGAAGGAGGTAAATGGAAATGTATTATTGTATAGCAGCTGTCCACGCGGACGCATCGCTCACTCAAGTAGGAAAGAGACAAATGTCGAACGCTGCCGAACGCGGAGGCCGATTGTGCCTCTTTGTCGCTCGTTCCGCGCTCTCGCTTGCACTTCAAGCCTTAAATGGAACGCCTCAGAGCGAGGTAACGCCGCATGAGTCATGTTTTTTCGTGCGTGCAGCCGGCTCCATCGAATTATAAGACGTTGTTACGTCAAAAACCGAAAGAACCAACCCCGCTTCTTTCTCTTTTATTTTTTTCATTTACACAGTATATGAAGTCTATTAACCTTAAAATTATTGGAAGTGTAATTTACAGGGTGGATTACAAAAAACGCCCTAAACCATAACTCTATTACTCTTAAAGATATTACTACACTTCTTGGGGCAAAGTTGCGTAGTTGATTGTCATCTAAGCTTTGCGATAGATTCTCAATCAATGCTACTTCCTATTTCACCGGAAATGACACCAACTTCAGGTTTTAAATGGAACACCCTGCATACTCTACTATTTTTGAATACCTTTTTAAATTGTCTTTCAAAAAGCTCAACAGTATCATATGCGTAAAACCAAT